TTCAGATGTTTTGTGACAGAAATGTGAAGAAAGAGGGCTAGAAGTGGTAGAAACTGGTACTGCACTGACTTGTTGATTTTATTTTTACCTGTCCTGCTGCTGTCATTGTGGATATCATAGAACAAGACACTGGACCCCCCTCACCTCCCTTATATGCTGATTGCCTTTGTCTTGGTTGTAGTAGTAGTTCAAGTTCTTTTGCTTCTAGATTGCCATGCCAAGTTTCTGGTTTGATGTTAATGCTCTAGTTTCACTGTAAAGCTGATCTGTGTTAGAGTATGTGAGGAAGCAGGTGAAGAGTGTTAGCTGATAAAGAGATGTGTGTGTGGAGTCGAAGAAAAGGCAGTGGAAAAAGAGACGGTGTGTGTTTGTGTGTGTGTGTGAGTGAAAGAGAGAGAGCGAGAGAGGAAAGGCAAGCAAAGTAGCCTGTTGCATAAGACACAGGTTACAGCACCCACGAGCCAGAGGAGGTTTGTCGCACGTCAATACAGAAACAAACAAACAAACAAAACAAGTGATGGCACCACTGCCTCTGCTCACCTGCTGAAGTGAGATCAGGGTCAATGAGTCTGATAAAAAAAAATGTCAGACGTTGAATTCCCTTCACTTTGGTTTCATAAGAAGGTTTAAGAGTATGTGAGTCAAGGTGGATCAGACCAGCAGAACAGAGGTGTATGAAATTCAGCCCTCCAGCAGAGGGATATTCCCTATGACTTTTATTAGAGAGATATCTCATGTATTTATTCAACATTATGCAAATGCAGCTTTATGCACCCCTGCAATCTAATCAGTGGCCTGTGTTCCCCCATAGAAACTATCAACACACTCCTTCTTCAATTTGGCTCCATCGTACAGGCTTTGCGTGAGTGCGTATGTGCATATTGCGTTTATCTGTGAGCGTGTGTGCATTTAATGTTTGTTTGTGTGGACGAGTGACTGAACATGCATGCGGAGGTGGAAACAGCTTTTGGCTTTTGGTGCCTTGCTTCGACGTGAGAAAAACATAAAAAATACTAAAAAAAAAAATACTAAAAAGAATATTCACCACAAGTGACAGATGGCAATTTTAGTGGCCCTACAATGCTGCAGTCCATTAGCTTACATTAAAACTTCCTTTTCCTCTGTTTAATCGCTCGGCTTAGTCTGCCCCAAGAGTAGTAGAATTAGGCTTTCTTTTAAAGCATGGCAATGATTTGTTGAGTATAAAGTATATTAAAAAAGTGAATAGAATGTGTATGTCGGTGAAGCAGGCGATGTATGTGTGTGTGTCTGATTGTTTGTGTGTGTGTGTGTGCATGGGGTGTTCAGTGTCTGTGAGAACAGTAGACAATGACCAGTGTTCCTTGCTGTTGATTATGACGTGTTGTCGATTATTTTGGGTCAGTAATTTATCAATGAGAAAATATCCCCTACATATTACAACTTTGTGCATCACTATCTAGATTTAAAAGGGTTTGAGAATATAATAGAGATGTTGTTCAGATCATAGAAAATGCCTGTTGTTGATATTTCTGAAAGCGCCGAACGCCTTACTTCAATGTTTAATCTCTTATCTATCTGAAAACAATGTGTTTTAAAAGTGAACCTTAGTACAAGTGACATCGTTATACACACAGGAGTCCTTATATGGGGTTTTACGTTTGTCATTGTTATGAAAGTGTTGTAAGATTTGTATGAATAAATTTTTGTAAACAACAACATTTTCTAATCAATGTCTAATCTTTGAAATACATCACTTTTTTTTTTCGAGGAGACGTGTCTTTTGAACAGAGAAAGTGCAGCAGAGCCACAGTTACATCACACACGCTGACTAGAATATATATTTTGTTTGCAGTTTACTGCCCGCATATGAATGTTGAGCTTACATGAAGAACCACCTATTTCCATGAGCACAGATCTCCTCCTGTAACAAACATAAAGTTGCACAGCAGAAAATAAAGCAGCAAATGCATTGTGTGAAGTTGGTCTAACTTTTAAAAGACACGTTTGCAATGCGTCAAAAGGGAAATCACAGATGTGTTTTTGCATTTCAAGTTGAGGAAATAAATAAATGAACCTGCAATTCAAACTGAAGAACCATCAAACATCTCTGAGGAGCTCATCAAGAGAAGCTACGACTGAGCTGCAGAGCCCCACACAGGGCTTCTCTCCTCCTGGACTGCCTTGTGTTTCTCCTCTTTCCATCCTTGGCCTTGGTAGTGCAGCTGTGTCCTGTGGGAGACGAGGAGGATGGGTGTGGCAAAGGATTATGTGTGTGATCTGATACTCATAAGCCAGCAGGAGTATGTGTGTGTGTGTGTATGTGTCTGTGAGTGCACATGCACCAGAGCTCAACTAACCCAATCAGAGAAATGTTGCATGGCAACGGTCCACAAAGGGACACGGTTATGTATACGCATGTGTCAAGTGTGTTTGTATGTGTGGAAAAAAGGAGCGAGACAAAGACGGAGACTGTGTGCATTTGTGTGCATGTCTGAGTGTTTTGGGCTATTTGTGTGCACTGCACAGGCAGACCTTGAGCGGGCTCTGCATTGGAATGGGGTTCTGCATCACACCTTACATTTTTTGTGCACACGCTGCCTGTTGAACAGAAGAAACAGATGCACAATGTGTGTCTATCAGAGACACAGTAATAACACCAACAGCCACTGCCACAGAGGAGCACAGGTATTAAATATGATTAATGAAATTCAACAAAGTGAGTTAGCCATGAGAAACTGCCACACACTCATTCGACGTGCATCTCTGTTTCTTCCCCGAAGACACCAATTCATGGGAGTTGCCCTGTTGCTAAGAAAAGGCTGACAGATTGTTGGTTGTCAGGGGCCTTTTTTTGTGCTAAACCTACCTGTGTGATATAAATGCTGTCTCCAGTCTTTATTTATACCCCCTCTACCCCTTTGCTCTTCTGCTGTCAAAGTGAAAAGCAGCTTCGGTCCACCTGACAAGCAGAGACTGCAAGACTTGTTCTGAATGGAGCAAATGAGGCAGGTGAAACGAACAAAAAAATGTATTCATAAATAAATTGGATTTAATATTCACCCTCACAAGTGGATATTGAGACAAATGCATCAATTTGTTTGCACAGCTTCCACATAAGGGGCCACCCTTGACCAATTTGTACATAATGTACATTAATGCCTGAATCAATAAAAGATGGCTCCTCCCTCCTCATAGTGCCGCATCATCTCTCCTCTCTGCACTCTACGTCTTAAATCTGTATTAGCATCTTTGAGCTGTTCCACAACTGATTTTTTCGCAGGAGTTGTCTCTCTGGGTTTTTTGTTTTGTTTCGTTCTCTTGGGGGAAAATGGAAAGAGCTCCTAAATTTAGAGTCTAACTCCCTCAATAAACAGTTTGGAATCAAACACGGCTTTTAATAATCAGCTCTCTGCCTCCAGACACGTCTTAATCACGTATGGAGTGTTAGAGGGGGAAGGAGAGGTTTTGTTCAGGGCTTTTCCAGTGGGGATACCCACACCTCTCCCAGTCCCACATGACCACACCCATCTTTCTTTGTCACCATGTTTTGATGAGCATGTGAAGCCAGAAGTGTGTATGTGTGTGTGAATGAGCACTACTGCTCTATTTTGTGTATGATTAAAATTTCCTTCCCTTCACAATACTTTTGTGTGTGTGTGTGTGTGTGTGTGTGTGTGTGTGTGTGTGTGTGTGTGTGTGTGTGTTTATTTATCTCAAGTGCAAACACTGCCCCCTCCTTCTTCCATAACATCTCTCTTGCATGTCAGGGTTAGGAGTACAAGAAAGGCCCAGACACAGCAGTGATGCAATCACCATCCCACCCACTCCACCCCCTCGCATTTTACCCCATGAATCATTCAGTGGTCAGGTTTGAGCGGGGTGGGGGGTGGTGGTGGTGGGGGCGGGGGGCAGTCTAGTCATGCCTGCTATGAAACTCTTGATTGTGGCAGCCACGAATCCCTCAATCCTCCTCTCCCTTAAATCCCTTCTTGTGGCGGGCTCTGTCACATCTACCATTGAGCAGGCGGCACACTGTGGTGAACATCAACCCCTCTGGGAGCAACGTGTTAGAGAGAGAGAGACAGCAAAGACAGGGAGGGAGAAAATAGGAGATGTGGGCGAGGGTTTGCAGACATGGACCACT